AATTACAAAAGAACACAAACAACAACAACAAAAAGAGACAAAAAAGAAAAGAACAAACGTGTAAAAGCATGAAAAACGCATGAAAGCTCAATTCAGTGCTTTTCGAAATTTAATGTATGTGTGCATATAAATGAAATAATTGTTATGTCTGTTCAGATTCTTATACATGGTATTATTATATTGGAAAAAGAGAGACACCATGTTAATTGTATTTAATAATAAATTGTAAACAAATGAATTTACATAAAATGAAATACGGGAATCAAGGCATTATAGCTTTCGCTTAGTGAATTCTGAGTTTTATCAAGTCGATAGAGACTTACTTTTTCGTATCTCTCTCTCACTCTCTCTCTCTCTCTCACTTTCTCTCTCTCTCTCTCTCTCTCTCTCTCTCTCTCTCTCTCTCTCGTATACTTTCATAGGTTCCGTATAAGACATGTTTGGACCAATTTATCAAACAATCCGATTCAATTATACGCTTTTTTTGTTTTTTACATTATGGAAACCATACATGACTTTACAGTGCTCTAAGTCAATGGATATATTATTAAAAATTGAAAATTTCCAACTATCGCTTGGACAGTTTTCAACAAATCCATCAAAAATTCTTAAATTTTCGTATCGTTTGATTTTGAGTTTATTTCGTGAAAATCCTCGTGCACTGGAGGAACGAAGCAATGTAAAGTATGGAAAGTCTCTTACAGAAAAGATAAGCTAGATATATTCTAAGATTATGTACATCTATGTATAGATAATAACGATTACTCTACCACTCGCTTCTAAATTATTTTCATTTCGTAGGGCAAATTACAAATACATACGTACTCCCGAATTTTCCTTTTCCCTCTTTCTTTCTCATTATTTTGTACATCCGAAGGAATAATATTTACAAATTAATGTACACGTTACAATTAGTCGCTTTGCTTGTCACGTATGTATACACACCCACACACACACACACACACACACACCCACACCCACACGTATGTATATATATATATATATATATATATATATATATATATATATATATATATATATTTATGATACGTATATTACCCATGTAGCACGCATTAATAGGTAAACTTGCCACATGATAATCGGCTAGTCTGACGAATTTTTATTCATAATTTTTTTTATTTCAGTATTTCTTTATTTCTTTATTATTTTTTTTAATCGATATTATGCGACAAAAGGATGAAAAAAGGATGCTGATGCGTGCACAAGGGAATTTATCGATAAACTCCATTGCATTCGTCCGCGCTATGGAATCTACACTATAGAGTATCTATTACTCATTGATAAGCGATATGTCCTTCTAGTGACATTTTACTCAATTGTTAATGTTTTTCCGTTTACCGCACTGGCAACTGTGTATTCTCCATTTTATGTCCTTTTACAAGCTCCCTCTTCATCGTCATCATCATCATCATCATTATGTTTTTTTTTTCTTTTTCTTTATTTTTTTCCATTTTTTATGTCTCATTTCTTTTTTCTCTTTTTTCTTTTATGAAAAAGTCAACAACCTTGCATTTTATGCTCTCAAATTGAAAAGACAGAGATGCGCGTTACCTTCTCTTTTCAAGTTAAATAGCTTAAAATTTTTCTCAGTTCAAACGTTTCTCATATAACGAAGAGCCTTCTGCCCGAGTCCCCAACTTTTAATGACATTTTTCCCTGTTTCTCCGACAAAGATTAAAAATCCAAAATAAACCACCCCCCTCCCCTCCCTCCAAAAAAAAAAAAGAAAAACGGGAACAGCGAAGGCTTTTCATTACATCTTATACAACATTTGAGATCAAAATTTATATAATTCTTGAAATTTATAATAGCCACAGTTCGGTGACAAATGTTTACAGGAGAAAATTCATCTCTATACTTTCGTACGCCTGTACATTGATACGTATAAATTTCTTAACTACATTGATTAAGAAGAATTGTCGTTTTCAACAGCTCCTCCATCACAAATATACGGCCCCGACATTCACGGGTTGCATTATCGCACAATACGTTGTATTGTGGGCGTTGGATGTGCATCCGGCAGCGATCCTTACCTACATCCGTTCATAACGCTGAATTTCCCTAGAAAAATTACGCCCCCAACAGCTTTACTCTTGAGATGCGCACATGAAAATTCACGGCATTTCATTGCGAATAAACAATGGCTCGAAATGCGTTGAATCGTGGGA